AAGGGGTAATGACATATTTACCCACCTTCCTCTCTTGAGAGCTTTCTCTCTCGTTTTGTGAAGGCAATGAAAAGTCCAAACCTCTAGCTCTCATTCTCTGTCTGTCTCCTATCTCTCTCTCTCTCTCTCTCTTTCGCTTTGTGAGAACGATGAAGCCCAAGCCTAGGGTTTCTGCTGGGATAGGTTTGGGTGCCGGAGTGGACCGAATGAAGAAGAGATCTTCACTAGCACCACCCCTAACCTCGATCGTTCACAATCACTTGCACCACCACGATAATGGATGATTTTGAAACTCTAATTTCTCTAACTCTCATATTTGGTAGTGGTGAATGTTTCTATTGTGGTGGTAGTGGTGGCGGCAACAACGTTTATGTTGTGGTGGTAGGTGTTCTGTTCTGTTGTGATAGTGGGTGTTTTATTGTGGCAATGGTGGTTCTGTTGTGACAATAATGACTATTTCTATTGTGGCAACAATGGTGGCAACTACTATACAAGTCTGATTTATCAACGGGTATAATAATAAATATCTATAAAAGTCAAGTAGAGTCCATCCATTCAATTGGATTGTTTCGTATACATAATTGGACGAAATGAGTTAGAATATAAAAAAGAAAAAAAAAATTATTTCTATTCTTGCTGATTATCTAAACACACACTGTAGATACACACCTTTTGATTTGGTAGTCAAATCATCTTGTCCTTACCTCCGGTAATTGACAGTGAAATGGTGACGGCTCTTTTTTCCTCTGTTGTCACCATGTTGCAGAGATAATAATTGTATTTATTTAGTACATATTGTTTTACAATTATAAAATAAAATGAAATTTAATAAATTCGATATCAAATAAACGTATTTAATGATTATTAATATTTTTTTTAAAATTATTCATATTAAATTTTCTCCCTTATAAATTTATTATTTTTTATTTATATTTTACCTTACATTTAAACACGAATTATTCCAAATAATTCCATATGGACCTACAAGTCTATCACTCACTTTGACAAATCCATATTAGACGGCTGAAAATTCGTGGCTTATAGACCAAAGTCAACAAAGTGAAGGGTACGATGTCTGATGGTTGAGACAGATTTTTCAGACACTTCAAATCATATAGATCCGTGCTGAGATATTTTTGTTTGTTTGGTGAAAGTTGTCTTTCGTTTTGCCGCACACGTGTTCCGCGAGATTATACTTAAATTTGCTTAAGGATAACCGTACATACCGGGAGAGATTCCAACGGTGTCGTGTTGAGCTTTTATTATAGTAGAAAAGTTAATATGTTGACAAATAATTTTAAATTTTAAATTTTTAATAAAAAATTATAAAATAAAATAATATATTATTAATTGATTAAAAAAAATATGATATCCGAAAATATATTTCAAAATTTTGGAAGGGTTTGACACAAGCAGGAAGAGAAACATTGTAATTGAGTATTTGTCACAATTTTAGTGTCAAATTCATGATTAAAAACAGTGGTTTCCTTGAGGTATTGGAGAAAAATAATATTTCAAAATTATTAGATTCATATTTCATGTGGTGTTCTTTGATTCGAGTTTACACGTTAAACTCGTTTAATAAATAGATCATATATGAAAATTTTAATTTTTTAATTATAATAACTCATTTAAATTTTAATTTTTTAACCATGTATTAAAAGTTATTAGAAAAAATTGGTGTGGTGTGGTGTGGTGTGGCAATTAGGTAGTTAAATCCTTTTAGGAGGGCAATTAGTTTTGAGTTATTTAGATAAAGCCAAAGAAGTAGGCGTGACAACATGTGCAATTAGAGTAAAAAACAAGGTTGGATTAGGCCCTTAGTAGGCTTGTTGTCTTTATGCAACATGCCCAAAAACACATGGACAAATAGTTCCGTATTGCTTTAAGCAATGTCACATGACTAATCACTCTAAATATATAACCTTGTAGCTCAGGTACATGGTGTGCCATCAAGATCAAAATTAGCTACTATGTGATTTTGTACCTTGTACTAACTCTTTGATCATCGTATGTTGTGAGATGTAATCCAATTTAACACATTTATTTCACTTTTTCGAACCAAAAACTTATATATTTGATAGTTCAGGGGGTGACTTATTCATTGAATGAATTATTTTGTGTTTACGATTATCAACTTGATACCAATTCGGACAAATAATCCAATTGTATATGATCAATTTAGAATGAACAGTAAATTCAAATGTTTTAGACTCATTTTTTTTAATGTCTTTTGAATTTAAATGATATATACGATTCACAGATAATTACAAATATTTGAATTTATTCTATAGGAATATTCCCAATGTGGCTTTAACTTAGACATGTTCAACATTGCAAAAAAAGATTAAAAAAAAAAAAAAAACCTTACATACCCTCCAATTTTCACCCTTGTTCATAAGTATGATTAGTAATTGAATTGAGTTTTGTGAATTTAAGTCAAATTTATTTTTTTAAATAAATTAAAAAAATTAATTAAATTCAACTTATTTAAGAATCAAATCAAATTTAATTCAAATCTAAAATGAATTAAACTCGAATAATTTGATGCGATTATCAACCGTACTCAAAAGTTGTGCATGGGTGGAGGCATATCTAGGTGAATGTTTGCGTGTTCTACTAAATAATTTCCCCTAATAAAAGTCATAGTTTGAGTGAGTCGCAGCTCATCATTTGACTCCCTTAATTATAGGAAATTAAAGACACGTTGGCCCTCAAAAGTTCTACGTGTATACTCAATCATTGCGCGTAGGTTGGTCCTTGTCCTTCCTCTAATAACTTGCTTAAACGCCGGATGTTTTTGTCACCGCTTCTTAATATTCAACGGCGGTGATCCCCCAATTGTCAATAATACAATGAATACTTAGCCGCCATGAAATATAATATCAACAATTAATTTGTGTCACATATTTAATCATGCATGATTGACTTGGAAATTAATTAACAATACCTTAGAAGCTTAGAACTCATCGAAAATATTAGACATAATCAGATCTATTAATCGTGTCCAGTGAAACGAGTTTGTATTGGGTGTTAATGAATTCGTANTTGAAAATATTAGACATAATCAGATCTATTAACCGTGTCCAGTGAAAGGAGTTTGTATCGAGTGTTAATGAATTCGTACTAAAAAAATATTTTATTCATACTTAATTCGATTATTAATTAATATTATATTGAGTTCGTGTCATATATAAAATTTATATAACTGATATGTAAATGTGTANTATTGGGTGTTAATGAATTCGTATTAAAAAAATATTTTATTCATACTTAATTCGATTATTAATTAATGTTATATTGAGTTCGTGTCATATATAAAATTTATATAACTGATATGTAAATGTGTAGAGTCGTATTTTCTTTTGATTTGTTTCACTCATACCTGATTATTCTACTAATCATATCAAGTGGAGTCTACTCATTTACTTAACGAGTGACTTAAAGAATATTCAAACTCTCTAATTTCGTATCGTGTTAACGAATTGTAATCATATTTTGACATTCTTACCTCGAACATTGCTTGTTTCACAAATATTCAATTCCAATTAGGTCGATCAATAAATAAAATTCGAATTGAATCTTTTTTAATCATAATTTGATTAGTTGGGTAAAATTCTAATTCAATTAAGTAACAAATGTTATTTACAAAGTCAATGATTAAATTTTTTAGAAAATAAAAAATACGATTTTAAAATCTTTTTCTTTATGATACCCATAAAAATAGCCATTGCATAAATTAAGATATATGGTTGATTTTTTTTGCATAATTTTTTTATTTTTTTATGAAAATACTAAATTTATATAATTTATTGAATTAATCAGAGGAAATCAATCTTAATTCATACTCGATTTGCTAGGTAGACATGAATCTTATAATTTTGATTAGACTTATTGAACTTGGATCNCGTAAATTTTTTATTTTTTTATGAAAATACTAAATTTATATAATTTATTGAATTAATCAGAGGAAATCAATCTTAATTCATACTCCATTTGCTAGGTAGACATGAATCTTATAATTTTGATTAGACTTATTGAACTTGGATCGAATTTTAGTTTAAATCTAATTTGTTGATAGATCTAATCTAAATGGTGATGCGCATAATTTTTTTTTAAACAGGGTGTCCAAATTAATTTACGCACACCTCGACGAATTTCTTCAAACGAACAAAACCGAGGGATGAGTAGGATACAAATAAGCACGTTTTAATATTTGTAACCGGACAATAATTCTTTTTGTTTGATACAATNGAGCATAATATTTTTTTTAATAGGGTGTCCAAATTAATTTACGCACACCTCGACGAATTTCTTCAAACGAACAATACCAAGGGATGAGTAGGATACAATAAGCACGTTTTAATATTTGTAACCGGACAATAATTCTTTTTGTTTGATACAATAAATAGATATGTAAATAAATTACTTCATATATTTTTGGAGAGCATTATTTTTTAGCACTAAACAATTATCTATAGAGAACCATATCGCACCTACATCGGGACAGAAGTTAAAGAGTAATTAAAATCTCATCACGTGCTTTCGACACCGAAAACTAAATTTAGCCCTAATAAACTTCTATAAATATAAAACTTCGATTTCAATTGTTCAGTGGGAAATTTCGGGTTCTTACCGATGGACCAACCACCGGTCGGTCAAACGGCAATAATTCAACAAACAAACAAACAGTGCAACACGGTATTTACCAATCCTACGATTACACAACACGTGTCAAAGGTTAGTGTCTGGTAATATTTTAAATTGCTTGCGTGTCATACATTAGGTCAAACACATAGAAAATTGGTGAACCCAAAGGTGAGTCTAGATTTGCCAACGTCAAATACGAGTTTCTGGATTGGATCAACGTGGATCCACCTAAACAAAAAAAAAAAAAAAAAAACGTGGATCCACCGTGGCAGTCTAAGCCGCCGTTAACTTTAACGACCAAATCAAAGTTAACACTCTTTCCCACCGTTAGATGCGTGAACAAACGTCCAAACAAGATCTAGTGAGAGAAGAAACCGAGGGAGGCCACCATTTTTCACGGCGATGGTGAAACCAATCTCTTCAATTTCAAATCACTGTTCTCAACCCATCACCACTATAAATTGCCCCATTTGGAAACAATGTTTCAAATTCACTAAACCATTCTCTCTCTCATTTCTTCCACAAAATCCAACAACCCAGAAAAAACTATCATCTTCTTCGATTTGTTTCCCGTCGATAAATCCCGTCTTCGCTTTTCAGGTGAGTCTTTCAAGTTGATTTTTGATTATTTATACTGCATTGTAGTTTTTCATCCAAAACGATATCAGAGAGCTCGCAGAAGAGGAGCTCAGGGCGTAGAACTCGAAGTTCCATTTGAGTTGAGTCTTAAGTTTACCTGTGAATTGCGGAGCTAGAGTTTGTCTCTGGTTCGAATTTTTTGTGGTTGTCTCATACATTTGATTTACTGACGTCGAATTTAAGCTAGTTTGCAGAACATACATTTGATTTACCGAGGTTGAATTTAATTTTTGCAGAGGACCCAGTCTGAAGTCGAATTTACCGAGACAGAGGAGAAAGAGGAAAAGGTAAAAGTGGTAATACCAATGACGATTACGCCGGCCGTTCGCATTTCCGATCGGAAATTGATCGTGAAGGACCGGACGATCCTAACAAATGTGCCAGAAAATGTGATCACCACTTCCGGCACGACAACCGGTCCGGTGAAAGGTGTGTTCGTCGGTGCGATGTTTGATGAAGATAACAGCAGACATGTGGTGTCCCTCGGTACGTTACGTGACGTACGGTTCATGGCATGTTTCAGGTTCAAGCTTTGGTGGATGGCTCAGAGAATGGGAGATCAAGGACGTGACATACCATTAGAGACACAGTTCTTACTCGTTGAAACCCAAGATGGGTCTCACCTAGTGTCCGATGATGGAGATGAAGAGAATCAGATCGTTTATACTGTGTTTCTTCCTCTAATTGAAGGCCCATTTCGAGCATGTCTTCAGGGAAATTTACAAGACGAGCTCGAGCTTTGTCTTGAGAGTGGTGATTCGGAGACAATGGCGTCGGCGTTTACTCATTCGGTGTATGTTCATGCTGGGACAGACCCGTTTGGGACCATCACGGACGCCATTAGATCTGTGAAGTTTCATCTCAAGACTTTCAGGCAACGCCATGAAAAGAAGTTGCCCGGAATTGTAGACTATTTTGGGTGGTGCACATGGGATGCTTTTTATCAGGAAGTGACTCAGGAGGGTGTTGAGGCCGGTCTCCAGAGTCTCGCCGCCGGTGAGACACCGCCTAAGTTCGTGATCATTGATGATGGGTGGCAGTCTGTCGGGGGTGACCCAACTCAGCAACCACCACCCCCACAAGAACCACCACAACAGCCACCGTTGATGAGATTGACAGGGATTAAAGAAAATTCCAAGTTTCAGAACAAGGAGGACCCATCAATGGGGATCAAGAACATAGTCAACATAGCCAAAGAAAAGCATGGGTTGAAGTATGTGTATGTGTGGCACGCCATTACTGGCTACTGGGGTGGGGTCAGGCCAGGGGTGAAGGAGATGGAGGAATATGGGTCGTTGATGAAGTATCCAACGGTGTCAAAGGGGGTGCTAGAGAATGAGCCAACATGGAAGAATGATGCAATTGCAGTGCAGGGTCTGGGGCTGGTGAACCCAAAGAATGTGTACAAGTTTTACAATGAGTTGCATAGTTACTTGGCCTCTGCTGGTATAGATGGGGTTAAGGTGGATGTGCAGTGTGTGTTGGAGACTCTTGGGGGTGGTCTGGGTGGTAGGGTTGAGCTGACCAGACAGTATCATCAAGCTCTTGATGCTTCTGTTTCTAGGAATTTTCCAGATAACGGGTGCATTGCTTGCATGAGCCACAATACTGATGCACTTTACTGGTATGTTTCTAAGCCTCAATTTTGTTCAGTTTGTTTAATTTTCAAAGGTTCAAATTTTGGTGATCTTGTTGTAGGCTTCGTCAAATTTTCCTTTTGGTATACACTATACAGTTTCGGTACATTAGAATAGGAAAAGGTTGAATTCTTTCGGAAACAGAATAGGAATATGCAAAATTTTCAGAATTCTGATTCGGAACATTGCCGGAAAAATTTTAATTTTCAATGAAAGATTGTTTTGGTCTTTTCGGTAGAAACTAACCATGCTTCTTTTTTTTTTTTTTCAAGTAATTCTGAAATGTTTTCAGTTTGTTGAAAATTGATAAGCAGCGTATCTTTTTCTGACAAGGAATCTGCTTTATTGAAATTGTAATTGTGCTGATCTCAGATGATTGATGTTTCAAATATACCCATATCTCTGGTTTTCATTCAATCCATTTGTTTAGTTTTAAAAAACATATATTGTTTGTGAAAAAACCAAATCTATCAGTCAAACTATGCTGTTTTCCTGAGACAAGACAAAATAAAACACCTTAGATCACATGGGGTTTTCACAAGGAATATTCTACGAGGAGAGGAACAAGTGCTTAGTTTACAAAGGGGGATCTTGGTTGGAGAATTCGATTTTCTTAATGCTTCTGTTAAGATTTTAAACTTTTATATTGGGATTTATTCAAGTTTCTTTTCAAGAAATTTAGCAAATGATATGGTGATAGAGTGGACAAGTTGTATACCTTACCTTGGGCATTGTTGTCTTTCCAGTTTGGATATGATTAAGATGTGTTCTGTTCTAATGGTTCAATGTAACAGCTCCAAACAAACGGCTATCGTGAGAGCATCGGATGATTTCTATCCGCGTGATCCCGTGTCGCACACCATCCACATTGCCGCAGTTGCATACAATAGTGTCTTCCTTGGAGAATTTATGCAGCCTGATTGGGATATGTTCCACTCCCTCCATCCAGCGGCTGAGTACCATGGATCAGCTAGGGCGATCAGCGGTGGTCCCCTTTACGTAAGGTTAGAAATCCTACCATTCCATCACCTTATATATGTTAACACTGTACTCATGATCAATGCTTGTTTATTGATTGCCAACATTCGCTAATGTTGAGTCTCTGAACAGTGATGCGCCAGGGAAGCACAATTTTGACCTCCTAAAGAAGCTTGTTCTGCCAGACGGTTCAATTCTCCGAGCACGCTTGCCCGGTCGGCCTACCAAGGATTGCCTATTCTTGGACCCTGCTCGTGATGGTGTTAGGTGAGCAATTTTAATTTCACACCACCATTACATTTGAATTTCAACTGGATTGTAAGCTGGAACTAGGTGTCATGTTTGGACAAAAATTGTAGCATAACATTTACTTCACATGTGCTACATATTTCGGGCAAACTCATAGTCTTCGAATCAGAGGCTTGGATGTTGGTTTTGATTAGAAAATATTTATGCCCTTCAATTCTGAGACTGAACATATAACTTCTCATATGATGTTTTCACTTAAATCACTTCCTTACTATTATCTTGTTTGGTGTCAGCCTGTTGAAGATTTGGAACATGAACAAGTACACTGGAGTGCTTGGAGTGTACAACTGCCAAGGTGCAGCATGGAACAGCGTTGAGAGAAAGAACACATTCCACCAAACTAAATCTGAAGCTATATCTGGCTATGTTAGAGGCCGAGATGTCCATCTCATTGCTGAAGTTGCCATGGACTCCAACTGGAATGGTGACTGTGCTGTCTACTGTCACCGGAGTGGTGAGGTTGTCACTCTACCTTACAATGCTTCCATGCCCTTGTCCCTCAATGTCCTTGAGCACGACATTTTCACCGTTACCCCAATCAAGGTCTTGACACCTGGGTTCAGCTTTGCACCATTGGGCCTCATTGACATGTTCAATGCTGGTGGAGCCATTGAGGCACTTAGATATGAAGCTCATGGTGGTGCCCTGTTGTCAGAACTAGAAAATAGATATAAAGGGGAAGGCAATGGTGTTGCAAGCAAGAGGGTTGAGAACTTGAGCACAGAAGTAGTAGCAATAGTTTCAATGGAGGTTAAAGGGTGTGGCCGTTTAGGTGCTTACTCATCGGCTAAGCCAAGGAAGTGTATGGTGGGATCAGCCGTGGCAGACTTTGCATATGATTCAGAGTCTGGATTGGTGACTTTGAACTTGGATCGTATGCCCGCGGAGGATCAGAAAGTTCACATTGTTGAGGTGGAATTGTAATTACTTATTATTATTAGGCCAAAGTGAAGAGCATGGTGGGGGAATATGTGAGGGCTTGGGCTTGTATGGAAGGGATGATGTATTTTCTCTTTGCTCTTTGTTTTACTTTTGGTCTGATGGCTATCCATTGTAGTCGATGGAGAAGTTGTTAGAAATTCAGAAATAAATTTCTTTCTTTTTCTGTTAAGAAAAGTAGAACCAGGAACCAGCTCAGTTCTTTGCTTACCGTTAATTAGGTACTCAAATTATGTATTTTCATGACTGGTTTAACAAAACAGTACGAAAAACACAACAAAGACACAGATGTAGAACTTAAATACTAATGTCCAAGCATCTAATGATCCCAAGTTATGGTACAGTGAGGTTCCAACCTTAAAGTCAGAATAGAGTAGGAGCACGAAATGGAGTCTATAAGTGAACGAAATTGCTTCCTACCCTGGTACACAGACACAACATGACAAAAACGAAACCTAAATAGGGACTTCCATTTTCACGAGGGCAGTAGAAGTATCGATTGCTTCACTCTGAAGCCAATCCTTTGCGCATATAAGGGCCTCCACTGTCTCGGGTCTCAAGGAACATCTGTAACGATCCATCTCTTTATGCATGGTATCAAATACCGAATCAGGTCCAACAGTTGATATGGGAACTGACAAAATATCACGCGCCATCTTTGAGAGAGTTGGGTACTTCAGCCTGTTTAGCTTCCACCAACCTACTACATCAAACTCATGAACCCGAGGCAACAGTGACTCCTCCAGATACTGATCCAACTCAGACTTCGACTGCTGGCTGGTAGTTTCCATGATATAGACATCAAAATCTGTAAGTCCGAGTCCATTGCTTGGAAGAAGGTTTCCTTGGAGATCCTCTGGCTTGACAGTTCCCCCGTTAGCTTCTTCCACATAAGCAGGCGTTAGAGGCAGAGGAAGTGCCACATATTCATGAAAGAGCTCATGAATTCCTTCATCAACAATCTTCACATATGTGGCAGCATCTTCACCATAGATTTTGGAGAAACTGAATTCAACAAGCTTCATCTTGAACCGGGGATCCATAACAACTGCAATTGCCAAAATTAGGCAAGAGCTTTTCCAGTATTTGTCAAATTTCTCTTGCATTGATTTGGTAAGGTTGCTGACGAAGGGATCTTCACTTGTGGAAGCCCGTGCTAGCTCCAACTGAATCTTCCATGCTTCATGAAAGTATGTGTTGGTAGTTGGGATAGTTGCTGAGGTTAGGAGATTGGTGGTATCAAAGAGGAGTTTTAAGTACGTCAATAGAGTGTCAACCTTCTTCCATTCTTCCGCAGATGGTGGTTGCTTGTAATCAGGATCAGAAGTATCCAAGCAAGGAAAGACTTCCTTTAACTCAGAAGCAGCGAGCAACATTTCATATGATGTGTTCCATCGAGTCTGGTCATCAAGATCTAGGCTCTTTGTGCTAGGGACTTGAAGTTGCTGCTTGAGCTCAAGAAATTTTTCCTCATGGGCTTCTGAAGTTTTCACATATTTCACAACATCTCTGACTTTCTTGACAGTATTGTGCACAGCCCTTAATGCATCTTGGACAATGCTACTTAAAGTTCGAGCAAGGCAATCCCCAACCAACAATTGACCATTGAGCATTAGGGGGTTCTTCACAGAAAGTAAAGCTCTAAGATTATCAATCCCAGCTTCACTCAGAGGTTGGTTTATGGTGACAGAAAATAACTTGCCCTCCACACTCCAATCAGAAAGGCAAGCAGCAACAGCATGGCTGAAAGCAGTGTCTGAATCAGGATATGGTTCCATCACGACATTGAGAAGCTTCCTCTGCATCTTCCAGTCACTATCAATAAAGTAACCAGTTAGAAACACGTAACCCACAGTCTGGCATGAAGTCCACAAGTCCAGTGTAAGGCAAACACGCCCAAGCATCCCTTCAATCACCTTCTGAAGGCTTTGCTTTTCCCCTAGGTAAGTTGCCACACAATCCCCTTGGATAGTGTTGAAGCTCACCATATCAAACCGGGGCTGAAGGTTCTGGACAAAAGCAACAAAGCCAGGGTGTTCAACCATGTGAAGTGGGTAGTCATGCATAATGATCATCCTAGCAATCTCATGGCGGCAACGGTCTGGATCAAATGCAATGAAAGGTATGCTAGCAGTTCTGTAACGTCGTTTTGGTGTATCCCCAATTCCACCCATCTTTGAAGGTGCACTATAAGGGGTTACTTGATTCTTCTCCTGATTACGTAGGACCACTGGGCAGGTTCCCTTTGCAATATGGCGTTTGAGGTGACTTGTGCCAGCTACTTTTGACCCCGTACTGTATGCAAAAGATTGCTTGCATTGTTTACAGCATGCCCTTCTACATCCAGATCCAACATGTTCAATAGTGAAGTGTTCCCATACTATGGACTTCTTTTTCCTCCGTTTATTAGGTTGCATTTCTGAATTATTGGTTTGTATTTCTAAATCGTTAGGCTGCGGTTCTATAAGGACCAGCTCATTGTTCTCAACAGCAGTTTCCATCTTGACTCCAGTAGAGCAATGCCTCTGTTGGCAGCAAAGCTACTTTTGAAGGGAAATCTAGAAAATGAAATAATCCTACATAAAGACACCGTACTGACAAAACTTATTCAATGATTAGAAAAGGCACAGAAATGGAGCAATATAAAACCAATCAACTCTGAAGAACATTTGTTCAACATGAAACCAAGAAAAAATAGCAGTGGATCTTTAAGTAGCAAGAAAACAAAAACAGATACAGAAAATATGATAAGCCAAAAAGTAGCAGTAGATCTATCAGAAGCAAGGTAACAAAACTAATACAGAAAATAAGACAAGCCTCCTTCTGCAACAGCAATGTGTAACTAGAGACCACAAGAAACCGCGAAAATGAACTAAGAGAGGTGAAATTAATGATACTGAGATTAAGTGGATCACACCCAACCATTTGGCAAATGGTGGATTACCAGCACAGCTTACACATGGAAAAATTGCAGTTCAGTAGCACATAAAGATATCCAAATAAACAGGATGAAAAGTGTGCGTGTGTATATATTGACACGCATACAAACTCAAATACTCGAAACTTACAAATGNATGGAAAAATTGCAGTTCAGTAGCACATAAAGATATCCAAATAAACAGGATGAAAAGCGTGCGTGTGTATATATTGACACGCATACAAACTCAAATACTCGAAACTTACAAATGCCATTGGAAGTGGAGGATAAATAATATGAGACACGAAGAAGCGGATTTAACCAGCCAACTGCATGGAAACAGATTGGCACGATGTGCTTTGAGTAGGTTCAAGATGCACGTCACTGAAATTGACAACTTCATCTATATGCAACACCTACATTTACAGTGAAAAGGCAAATCCTACAGGAATACATATAATTTTGAAAATCATTCCAGATATAAATATAAAGGTATCTCAGGAGTAATTGGTGAACTGTTAAAATATTAGTACCTAAAGGTTCCATTTTGAATTCCCTTTACCCACTTTACAGCAATGATCAAACTAAAAACTTTAAAAGGAAAAAGACAAGAATGAAGTTTTATAGCAAATAAAGCACATAAGAAATCATGGTTGATGAAGCAGCAGCGAATACATGAGTTAAAAGCTATAAGAGATACAATTTAAGACGTGGAATCAATTATCTACATTTCTAAAGAAGCAGCAAAACGACCGATAACTAGGAGGTATATTAATGAAGCAATTCATGAGAATACACTTCTTCCTACCCATGATCCACCTAGTTTCTTAAAACCAGTGTTCTTTAGACCAAAGAGTCGGGGAGAAAGCTCCCCGTCCCTTGACTCCTGTAGCTGCATCTTCCGGAACCACAAGAATCATTAGTTAGAATAGGATTCCAATTTATCCTGTTTATTGTAATTTCACTTGATAAAGTTGCAATTTTACCCGATTGAATCCAATGCAGAAAAATAAACCTTGGGTCCTATGGTCTCTTCCTCAGAATTTTACAAAGACACACAGGCATCCCTATCCATGCCCACACCAAAAAGGGACCTCAACCCACCTCGAAACATCAAGAGGGTTTATTTTATGGGAAAGACCACAGTACTTAAATCTATCGAATTTTTAAGATGAAGTTGTAACTTCTTAAGGTATAAGTTACATTGCAAAAAATATGATTGATCCTAAAATGTTATGATCAATTATAGAAGTTACAACTTTTAAAAGTTAAATTTTTTTTTCGGTAAAGTTATAACTAATTAGGGNCCTAAATCTATCGAAATATATAATTTTTTAAGATGAAGTTGTAACTTCTTAAGGTATAAGTTACATTGCAAAAAATATGANCTTAAATCTATCGAATTTTTAAGATGAAGTTGTAACTTCTTAAGGTATAAGTTACATTGCAAAAAATATGATTGATCCTAAAATGTTATGATCAATTATAGAAGTTACAACTTTTAAAAGTTAAATTTTTTTTTCGGTAAAGTTATAACTAATTAGGGTATTCATGATCGATCGCAATTAGGGGTGATAATCTTAAATCATTCCTATTAACCCACCTATAAATAAAGAGCAATATAGCAACCTTATTTGAGAACCTAATTTGGGGACATAATCATGTGGCTTCAATACAACTATTGGATTAGTTATGAGTTCTAATATTAGATAAAGCCCACAACCAATCTAATGGTTGCACATATCATTAAGTCCTTAGATTAGATCCTCAAATTAGGTCTAAATAACATTTCTCATAAATAAATGGATTCGGTACCTAGATTAATTAATACAAGTTCTAAATGGGTTGAATAATATAATGCATTTCAATTAAACGGATTAAGATGGATTACAAATGGATAACCATTGGGTTGAATATTTATCATTCTATTAAATAAAACAAGTAATAAAATAAAATAAATATACTAATACAACAAAAAATACACACACTAGTACTCCAAAAGCGCACACACACTAGTACACATGACCATACCCATGACCCATAACCCGACTCACCAGGGACGTAGCTACATTGGGACTAGGGTGGGTACTTGCTTCCCTCAGTTTTGGATCACTTTTGATGGGACCCCATAATATATTATTCAGTGTACTAGATTTGTCCCCCCAAAATTTTAAAATTTACATAATAGTATTGGTCTCTTTTTTTCCCCAACAAATTAGTGGTTCATTAGCCCCTTAAAACAAATGTTTTACTTTTAGATTGAGTAAATTAGATCTAAAGATCGTGATCTANGTTACTTGCCTCCCTCAGTTTTGGATCACTTTTGATGGGATCCCATAATATATTATTCAGTGTACTAGATTTGTCCCCCCAAAATTTTAAAATTTACATAATAGTATTAGTCTCTTTTTTTCCCCAACAAATTAGTGGTTCATTAGCCCCCTAAAACAAATGTTTTACTTTTAGATTGAGTAAATTAGATCTAAAGATCGTGATCTATTTATATATATTGAAAAAAATATAATATTTCTATTATATTTAATACAATGTTTCCTATCTTTTAAAAATATTTGTGTAGCAATCATTTGTTATTTTTCGATTTGTTTGTAGTCTATAGACTCTATACCTAATAAAACATGATAGGATGCAAAAGCTACATGTTATAAGCCAAAAATATTTTATGCTATGTCAAATATGTAATTTCTTGATAAGATTGAGAATGATTTCAACTACNATTTGTGTAGCAATTATTTGATATTTTTCGATTTGTTTGTAGTCTATAGACTCTATACCTAATAAAACATGATAGGATGCAAAAGCTACATGTTATAAGCCAAAAATATTTTATGCTATGTCAAATATGTAATTTCTTGATAAGATTGAGAATGATTTCAACTACATTTTGCAACTATATAAAGAATAATTTTATTACAAACTCTGTGATTGTACTAATTGGTCGAAAATTAATGAGAAATCTAGCTTACAATTAATCAATTATAAATTTTTTTTTAGAATTTTAAAGAATATTGTATTTTACTATAATACACGATTGTGTTAATGTCTCGAATCTTAATCTATTTTGTCATTCTTGCACTCATTTTTTTCAGTATCAACTAGTGAATTATTTTTAATTATATTTTGTCCTACCTCATCCTCATTCCTGGCTCTGCCATTGTGACTCACGACCCATAGCCTGACTCATGACCCAAGTAATAAAATGTGTTTTTATTTTTGGTGTGTTAGTATATGTGTGCGTATTTTTAGTGTATCAATGTGTGTATTTTTTGTGTATTAGTAATATGTTTATATTAAGAGTTATAATTATTTTACGGGTTAATAGGTTTAACACAACTCGTTATGATCTAACCCATTATAACTTGTTTATTAAGTGGATTGAAGATGAATTGAATTTGTTTTGCACCCAACTAGGGGCGGAGCCACCCTTGGGCTAGGGTGGGCACTTGCCCCCCCCCCCCCTCAATTTTTTTTTGGCTTGATATTAAGTATGTATATTTTGAAATAAAATTTATACATATTTAATTGTGTCTACCCTAATATTGTGTTTTGGTTATATCGATTTGAATAGATCCCTACCTAAATGATTGTTAACTTTTTAAACAATATTATTGAAACCTAATTTAAAGACCTAATACATTGTGATATTAAGTATAATAAGTAAGTTTTAATATTTAATAAATTCCACTATCTATCCAATGGTCACAAAACCATTGGATCTCTATCAATTAAATCTTAAATTAGGTACAACTAATATTATTGTTAACTTTTAGACATGTTTCAGACATGTCCAAATATGTTTTGAAATATTGATGTTATTTTATAATTTTTTAAAATTGTAGGGTTATTTCATTATAAAAATGTATGTCGTTATGTTGTAATTATAGGATTATAAATCGAAGATTGTTACCATGATTTTATATATAAAATAAATATTTGATAAAATTAATTTGTAACTCTTTTAAATAATAAAAATATATTAGGGTCAATTGTAAGTGATAATAATTAGTCGCATTCTCAATAAGAAATTTTAATTATTATTTTTTGTGTTCATGTTATGTATATCAATTTTTAATTTTCTATGCTTAAAACGTATTAAATATAATTTCAATAAATATAAATTTATGAACTTTTATAGTCTATTAAAAAAAAATTAAAACATGCTAGTGTGCCTACCCTAAAATTTTTTCCTACCCAACCCGCCATTTGCCATCTCCAATACTAATATTTCATGATCGATCATGAATTACCTCAAGCAAGTATACCGTAACTTGACCTACAAAATTAGTAACTTTGTACCAAAAAAAAATCCATTTTTTTTTTTTGGTCATCCGAATTTTTTTTCCAATACCAGCAGTAAATAAGGCAACGTGGCCGCTGTCAATGGCCCACAATTAAAGCTGCCTAAGCAAAGTCAGGGGTTAGAGGCAACATGGTCATTTTATCGATCAATGGGCTAACTAAAAACAAGTGCTGACAAAGAAGAAAAAGCAGATCTAAACTTCCTTCATGGGCTTCAAAGAAATCAAAAAACATAAGCCCACACAAATTCAAACGTCAAAGAATACCATCAATAGAAAAAAAAAAATTTCACAATTCTGTACATACTCCAGAACAGAAAAAAACCAGATGACCATCATCAAGAAACAAACAAAACTATCTTGAATACAACAACATCAACACAACGTCAATCTAATTTTGGGCTTTCAGTAAATCAGCACACAAGCCCAGAAAATTAAAAAAAAGACTTCATTTCGAGATCAACCCGAAATATAAATCTACAAAATCAGAAAAGCCAAGTGATCTTCACAAATCAACTATTAAATCAGACATGAACATTAAATCTAAAGATAAAACAATAGAAATAGACTATGAAGAAAAAAAAAGTCAAAGTTAGGGTTTGTACCGACACAAACGGTGATTCTGAGGGAGACCCAGAACCAGAAAAGTGAATCCCAGGGAGACCCAGGTGAAGAAACGACCAAATTTTGTGTAAATCTGAAGCTTAAAGCACGATTTTCAGCTCTCTGCAACTGAGATCTAGGGTTTCACAGAGGAGAGAGAGAGAGAGAGAGAGAGAGAGAGGAGAGGAGGAGAGAGAGAGAATTGGGCTTGAACCCGAGAAATCTAATTGGACCTTTTCTTTTGGGGTTGTTGGGACTGCTAAAGTGATAAGGTTTGGGGGGGGAGGGAGGACAAAAATTAAAACGTTTTGGATATGGACTTTCAGGTCCATTTATTTACTTTGGTTTGTATTTTATGTGTGTGTCTGTGTGTGTGTGGATGGGTGGATGGTGGCCTGGTGGGGTGGGTGTTCTGTAGAGCCATAGGACTCATGGGGGTGGCTCAGCCAAAACAGACTCAATGAAGGTACCAGTTGAAAAAGGGGCTGACCACACAGCCCACTTTTGGGGGGTTTGGTTAGGTATTGGAATGGTAGTGGCTAGGGTGTAGGTGTAGCCCACTGAATTTATGTGTAAGCTGTGTGTGGACTCTGTTTGGTGTGGGGGGGCCCTACAGGGGTGATTCTTTTGAGAATTTAAAATTAGCCCAGCGATGTCCACAAAATTTCAATCTTNTATATGTGTAAGGTGTGTGTGGACTCTGTTTGGTGTGGGGGGGCCTACAGGGGGTGATTCTTTTGAGAATTTAAAATTAGCCCAACGATGTCCACAAAATTTCAATCTTGGGACAGAGTCCAACATAAATCAGAGAGTGATCTGTATTCAAATCTTTCCCTAGTCTTATAATCCTAAAAGAATTTATTATTAAAAATAATGGAAGATTTGTTTTTACTAATTTTCCCATAAATTTTAATAGCTGTGGTCCCTCACCCTCCGGCAACCCAGCACCGCCCCTAATCCCCCCTCAAAAACAACCCCACCTTACACCCGCTCTTTAGTCAACAACTGTCTAAATGATATGACTTTAAGGTTTCATAATTTGATACGTAATTTAAATTCTCTCTACAAATGCCAATTTTTTTTTTTTAATCTTCCTATGTTATACTTTACAAAAATCTTTATGGATGTGTCAAAGAGGCAACTATGGCCTATTAGAAGTCTATCTGGGCAAATTTCTAATATTGGGGCAAAGATGTGATCCAATTATCCAACATGGGTTGGAGCCTTGGAGGGGTCTTTCTCCCTACTCTTACAACGTTAATAAGAATGTCTCTCACCTACGAATATGGTAGGTGATATTTTTTTGGATGCATCTTAAAGGAGTTAAGGAAGCGTATGACCACCGATTGGGGTGGTCCAATGGAGTATCGATCGAACTTTTTCATCTTAAAATTGAAGGTTCGAGTCTTAGAATCTATACTAAGACTACCACTATGTTTTCGATAGGAGTAATGGAAACGGTTAAGGGTATCACGAACCCACCAATGAGAACATATTAGGGTGATTTTTGAATACTCTCCTTTGCTCCCACATTTTTTTTTCCTTAGCTAAAAAAAAGGTAAGCATATGTTAAAGTGTATTTTCATGAANTAATCTTCCTATGTTATACTTTACGAAAATCTTTATGGATGTGTCAAAGAGGCAACTATGGTCTATTAGAAGTCTATCCGGGCAAATTTCTAATATTGGGGCAAAGATGTGATCCAATTATCCAACATGGGTTGGAGCGTTGGAGGGGTCTTTCTCCCTACTCTTACAACGTTAATAAGAATGTCTCTCACCTACGAATACGGTGGGTGATATTTTTCTGGATGCATCTTAAAGGAGTTAAGGAAGCGTATGACCACCGATTGGGGTGGTCCAATGGAGTATCAATCAAACTTTTTCACCTTAAAATTGAAGGTTTGAGTCTTAGAATCTATACTAAGACTACCACTATGTTGACCTAATTAAGTTCGTTTTCGATAGGAGTAATGGACACGGTTAAGGGAATCACGAACCCACCAATAAGAACATATTAGGGTGATTTTTGAATACTCTCCTTTGCTCCCACATTTTTTTTCCTTAGCTAAAAAAAAGGTAAGCATATGTTAAAGTGTATTTTCATGAATTAACTCATAATTTTTATAAAATATTAATAAGAGAATTGTGCTGTCAATAACTCCAACCGAGTCTCCAACACCCCCCCCTCCTCGGGCCGACCCAAAGCCCACGCCCACGCCCACCCCCACTTTACTCATCGTTGAACCCCAGCTAAAAATATATGGGATTTTTGGAAGTCGGTACACCTAATTAGACTTATTTGANCCGAGTCTCCAACACCCCCCTTCCTCGGGCCGACCCAAAGCCCACGCCCACCCCCACCCCCACTTTACTCATCATTGAACCCCAACTAAAAATATATGAGATTTTTGGAAGTCGGTACACCTAATTAGACTTATTTGACAAAAATTACATCTTAAAAAATATTTTGGAAAAAGGTACATTAGTTTTTTTTTTTTTTGATAAATAAGGTACATTAGTTAGATACAAAGATATAAATGCTCATTTTAGGAAAAATGGTGCATTAAATATCTCCTAATTTTATGAGAGAACTTTANTGATAAATAAGGTACATTAATTAGATACAAAGACATAAATGCTCATTTTAGAAAAAATTGTGCATTAAATATCTCCTAATTTTATGGGAGAACTTTAATATTTAATACACATTGATTCATGTATATATATATATACAAACAATTATATATAAATATGTATAAATAAGTATATATAAATACGTATATATATTTATATATGTATATTGTATTTATATACATATATATAAGTATGTATATATGTGTAAAGTGTAACATTGAAAGTGGAAAGTGTAACATTTAAAGTGTAAAGTATGAAATATTATCTTATGTCTCACCTTACTTAAAAGAAAGTGTAAAATGTTACATGTTAACATTGAAAGTGTAACACTTTCACACTTTCTCAATTAATTAGCATTTTTAGTGTAAGATGAGACATGTATATTCTGTTTGTGTAACACTTTAGGTAATGCCTCCCCTTACCTTCTGTAAATAGCTTGTTATATTGTTATTGCTATACTGTTATTGTTTCTTTCAATATTATCTTATAACACTTTATACTTTCTATTAAGAAATGTGAGACATAAGATAATACTTTACACTTTCAATGTTACACTTTACACTTTCAAAAATGTTACACTTTAAAAGTATATATATATATATATTAACAAATACACATGAATTAAATGTGCATTAAATACTAAAGTTCTTTCATAAAATTAAAAGATATTTAATGCACAATTTTTCAAAAAACATACACATGGATCAATGAAGGACAAAAATGTCACAAAAAAATTAGGCAAATTCAAATTGTGTACTTAGATATAAATAAATATCAAAATTAAGGACTTAATAACCCTATATTTTTTAGTGTATATTTTTTGCCAAATAAGTCTAATTTGATACACCCCTTAAAAATTTATCCAAAAAATATTGGGTTTGCTTGATTCCCTACTTGAATTCTTATTCGATTATTTCTGATAGAATTCGAGTAAAAATAATATATTTGATTGGATAGGATATATTAAAAAAAAATTATTTCACAAAATATGAAGGTAAAATATTATAATTTTTATTCGTAAAGTAAAGTAGGACGAACACAGCTGCTTGATATGATTTTATTGGGCCCACTAAAAATCAACTTCTAATGCTATCTAATTCAAGAAGAGCAATGTTACTCTCGCTACAAAAACGAGATAAACAATAATATTCAAATGACGTGACATAATAAGTAATATTTAATAGTAAATGAATAAAAATAAGAAAAAAATTTATTATTATAGTATCACATTATTTAATTTTTATTTTTGTTCAATCTAACATTACTAGTCTAAGACTGCTTCAAAAAATTGAGAACCTAAAAAGAAAATACTTTCCTTTATTATTTTAAGAAAATTAACGCTATATGATCTTATTTTCCTTATCTAACTTGTTAGTGGCATTAGATCGACAATAAATTTCACAAAATATTAGAATTTAGTGTTAATCATAGAACAATAGAGTTGTAAGTCAACAATGAAGGGTTCAAATAATACTACTATTAATTTAAAATGTTTTCTATTTGCCTCTAATAGTCATAACATCTATTATATGTGATAAACCATTAAATGCAATATGATATTACGGCATTATTATCTCTTTGTATCGCTAGTTAATAATGAATTAAAAAATTTATTTAAATTGGTAACTATCGTATTAACAAAAAAAAATAAATATNGTTAATAATGAATTAAAAAATTTATTTAAATTGGTAACTATCGTATTAACAAAAAAAAATAAATATAAAATTATTATTAAATAATAATAACACGCGATAATAGTGACATATTGTTATTATTAAGATCAATCTACTATTAAATTTTTTATATTTTTAATTCAATGGTTGAGAATGTCCGAACTAAATATACAATTCTCAATTCGATTAAAAGAAAATTCAAATTAATTTACCCATATTTCAATTAATCATTTTCAGTCCGATTATAAATTGATTATTTACTGCAAGACTAAAATATTATTAAGAAATTTAATTTAAGGTATGGAAATCGGAGGGGTCATTCCACCAATAAAACAGTTTCTTTCCACTTTCTCGGAAACACATACACCAGAGAGAGAAAAGTGAGTGCGAGTGTTTTGCTTCCGCCATAACTGATAAAGTGAGCGAGGAACCATAAAGCGCTTCACAGGCTGAAGAGAGAGAGAGATGGATACGGAAAAAGTGACGCCGTTATCATTGTCGTCATCGTTGCTATACGCTGGAGAGAGGGATGGAGAGAGAGGCGCCGGAGGGAAGTTGAGGAAACCGCCGACTAAGAAGCCTCCGGCTACTCCTTACGACCGTCCTCCGTCAAATCAGTCCGCCGCCCAACGCAGCAATGGTAGTTGGTTTTCGAAGCTCGTTGATCCCGCTTACCGGCTGATATCGGATGGCGCCACCAAGATCTTACCCTCTTTCTTCTCCAAATCACAGTCCACCGCCGATCTTCCTCTTTCCAACTCCGGTGATGACGGTGAGTCACACATAGTACGTGTACGTGCGTGTGTTTACGTCTATGTCTTGTTCAAAGATTAGGGCTTTGTAATTTGGGCTGCTTTTGGTTTAATTTCTACGGAGAGGTAGTGTCAATTGCACATTTCTTAACGTTTTGCTTCACTGTTTATCATCTGTTTTGGTTTTAGAATGAGATAGAGTACGTTGGGTCATGCCATTCTAGTGAATTAGGGTTTTAAACTTCCATCGTTTTTCTTTCCAGTTCAATTGGNGTTGGGTCATGCCATTCTAGTGAATTAGGGTTTTAAACTTCCATCGTTTTTCTTTCCAGTTCAATTGGACTTTGTAGCCCCTTAGTTTATGAAACGCGCTTACAAGGTGATTGGTTTGGGATTAGTTCGTCAATGAGGGAATTCTATTGCGGTGTAAGTACTTCGATTGCAAATGTTTTGGCTGAGTGGGTTTGGAAGGTTAGTTTGACGAAGTATTTATAAGGGCGGGGCTTATCAGATATGTACAAGACTTGTCTATATGTTGATTACATGTATGCTGAAATTTACATATTATTTTGTTGAATTATTGCATGAAAAGTTTCACTTTTTAATCTTATTAATGGAGAAAAATGTACCATTTTATTCAGTGTGCTGCTTTGGTTATCGTTAGATTGTCAGAACAATACCTCAATTTAATCATTGCAAACGAGTCTCACGAAAGTTATGGTTAGAGAAAGACAAACTAGTCTATGTAATTATGAGCCTTATTTAACCTTAATTGATTCCATTGTTGGCTTAATTTGGCTGTAACTTCATATTAGTCACCATACCTGAGCTAGGGAAAGAGTATATGGTTAAGTTAGCGCTCTAGGTTTGCGAGTTGTGTTCTGCATTCTTGTGAATTGCTTTTAATATGATTTGTGTGAAAATTGAATCTGGTAAGATTCAAAATGAGACGTTTGAGTTTAACAAAACTAATATGTGGTGAGAAGTCCAGAACACAATCGTGTCCATCTTACAAAAAAAATAGGAAAAAAACACGATTGTGCCCACTATGTACTATTTTTTTTCCCCTGGGTGGCTACAAATAAAGTTAGGACCCATGTTCAAGGATGTGGCAGGGATGACCTATCTTTGGAGGGTAATATGGAGAATCATTTGAATACGGTTTATATAACCTATTTATGCAAGGGGAAGGTGCTTGTGAGTGAAGAGAGTGAATAGAAGGGTGGAGTGGCTTTTCTCTAGACATTCTACTACTCTACATGTAACTAAGGTGTAATTGAGGATAATCTAAGCGTTGCATAGTTACGAGGTGTCATTTTGGTTTTGCCTTAATAAGGTGACCATGGAATTGATGGGGTGTCGTGGTATACAGTAGGATATTGATTTTTGCAAGTTTTAAGAGAGGTTGATAGATTTTTATTGATTGTAGGTTGTAGTATAACAGCAGGAGGCGTTTTGGTGGGTTGTGAGAGAAAGCTTGGTGGATTTCACTTGTTTTGGGAGATCATTCTCTGCCTTTGCAAGTTTGCATGTAAGGAAAGTAATTTTTTTATAGTCCTTAGTTTGTGCTATTACAGGATCATTGGAACTTTGTGGCCGACTGGAATATTGAAACTTTGTGGTTGGACCCTTCATTTTGTGAATTGGGTTATAAAATTAGTATATGAGCTTTATGGGATGTGTACAGGGTGTTTGATGGATTCCTTTTAAGGATGTGTACATATATGCCGCTGTTGCTGGTGATGATAGTTGTGAAAGAAATTTTGATATTCAGGAAGATTGATGTTTCGATATACTGCCATTATATTTTTGGTTGTTTAATCCAATTAGAGATCCAAAGTTTTGTAGTAAGAAGTTGGGTATTTAGAAAATTGGTCATTTTGAAGGCGGGCCTTGGCGCATTTGTATAGTTACCACATTGTGACTTAGGCATCACGGAAACCATGTCTTTCATGCTAGGGTACAACTCTATACATCTGACTCATCTCTAATCCTACAGTGGCCCGAGAGCCTCATATAGTGGGTTGTGCTTCTTAGGAACTTTTCCTTCCATTATTTTCTAGTAGCTACTGTATTTGTTTATTTTCAAGTTTATTGTAGTATTATCAAATTAGTAATAAACATAGCTATATAACGCTCTTTTTTTGACAAATAGCTGTTTATAGTCTACGTTTTTTCTCTAGACCTTTATTTTCTCTAATTTTATCATGGACAAATTTATTTGTTTTGCCATAATGACTGTTTAATCTGTGTTCCATTCAGGTTATCTTATTTTGCATTTTCAGATTCATTTATTTACCATTTTGTATCAGTTCCACAGGGCACTAAGTTGATACCAAATGCCAGTGACAATGACAAAACCGCTTTAAATGTAAGTTTTGTCCTTTTTTATTTTTTTGCTGTCTATGACTTTCAAGGGCAATGGTGCTACATATAAATCATAAATATTTTTCCGCATCTGTTAAACTGCATTTCTTAGTTAATGCATTATGTATACCATTAATCTTCATTGTGGGCATGTCATGGCACTATATCATGTTATGGTAATAATAAATTTGTTTTTCTATGGCGGGTAAATCATGCCATTACTATGATTGTATTTTTATTATGGAACTTGTGTGTTCAAGTTGGTGCTTTTGTGCATGACACGATTATTCTAATATTTAAACTAAAATTTTTTGGCAATCATGTTCATGCAGCTTGCAATAGTTAGATCCCCTGGAGAAGCAGGTCCTAGCAAAGTTGCTGATAGATTCAAGGGCAATGCAGAATGTAATAAGCTGGAACAAGATAAAACAAGTAACCTGTCTGATGATTGTGAATTTTCTAAAATTGAGCAGCTGGTGAAAGGGAATAGATTTTCAAGGTATTGTCTTACTTTCTTGGATATCTAGTCATAATTGATTCATATCTCTAGGGAAGTGTTCTTACAGCATAATTTTGATTATTATGATGAAATATCTTGCTTTTGATCCATATAGGTGTCCTAATAATTTGATAGTTGTTAGAGAGAGACAGTTCGTTTCTTGTTGGAGATGTGCACTAAAAAGAAAGAGGAATCATTTTTTCTGGTCCTCGAAACAGGGGCAATATATGTTTTATTTTTGTAATTGTGTTTTCTCTGGGTAACAGCTTTTTTGTTGAAAGACACAAGGTTTAGATTCTGTGATAGGCGACCCTTTCTAAAATCCTCTTAGGTTCTCGGGGAATGCATTTGGGTGCATAATGTTGGACAGAGCTGAGGCTAAAAAACCTGATCTTTGTACTTTCCTTTTTTCCCCCCTTCAGAAAATACACCGATTAAACCCAACTTCTGAAATACTTCTTCATATTCCTCATGAAGCCTTTTTTATTGTCATAGATTAATCATTGACATTATGCATTTCCTACTTAATATCTTCTTTTAAGCTGCAGGTTAAAGCATTATCAAGCCTCAGTTCAATTGTTTTCATGTGATGGTGAACAACTGGGAAAGATTTACAAGCACGATATAGGAACACATGGGTCTTTCTTTGTGGTTTCTTAAGATTGTCCTCATGCGTACTTGCTGGCATATGACTGTTGGGTGTCCCTATTCCTTCATGTCCTTTCTGTTCTCTTTTTTTGCCCTCAAGGAAGTCATTGGTTGCTGCATACTTGAACACACAGAGACACATCATTACAAATAATGTTTTTTTCATGCTACCATTTGAATTCTTTCAATTGCTGTGCAGGGATGACATCAACCGTTTGACAGACATATTAAATTCTCGGGTTGTTGGTCTTTCTGATGTTGAGCGGGAAAAGCAGCCACCAAGAATGACCTCTGGTGAAGAAGCTGAAGGGGTTTTATTGGCCTGTGAAAATTCAAGAACACCAATTGAAGGAAAACAGAAAGAGACAGACAGAGCTTTATTGGGAACCTCAACAACCCTTCTCCAATCAAATGTGAGTGTATTGTCACCATTGCAAGTGGTTCATATGGTTGAAATTCTTGGTGCCCTCATTTTCTTGATCATATCTACTTTTGGGTTAAAAAGCGTCATAAACTTGACTTGTTTTTCATATCGTGTATATATTATACATTTAACTTCCCCTGTAATAGTGCTTGACCCAAAACAAAATTTATAAAATACATGTATATTTCATGGAATGTAGTGAAATGTAGAACGACTTCCATTTCACTTTCTTGGAAGCCCTAATGTCAGAAGATATGTCCTTTTTATCTATCATCAGAGCAAAAGTACACATATATCTCTAGAAAAATTTGCAGGATTAGACATAACCTTGATAACTTGTGAATAACCCTGCCTAATATTTATTTATCTGTAAGAGACTGCAATATTAAAGAAATAAATTATGTTTATTGTATTTTTATATTTATAATTTAGCAAACTGCTATATTTATGATGGGTCAGTTTATTTTAATTTCTCCAATTGCAGATTCTTTTGTCCTATAACATCATTAGTTATCGTTTTGAAATAAATAAGGAAAAAAGGTACATAATGATTTTCTGTAATTGTTCCCTGGCATGTCAGCTTGTTTATCCTCATAAAGCCCGTTGATAAATGCCCAGATCTCAATTAGGTGTAGAAGAGGTTGACAACAAACTGCTTCAGCCTTTGGTTATAGTAAAGTTTCCAGTAATACGTATATAAGAAATGACTTTTTCTATGTGGATTCAATCAAACATTTATATCCTCCTTTGCTACTTTTGCTTCTCTTGGTTATCGTAAACATAAATTAGTTTAGCTATGGCCATGCATTCATGTTGCAGATGTAGCACTCATCAGGCGTAAGACTTAGAATTGACACAAGGGGGGAACATAGCATTCATCAGGACTATATGTAAATGCTCAAGAAAACAATAAAAAACAAAAGGAGAAAGAAGCAAGGAGGAAAAAGGGTAAAAGGTTCCTTAAGACAAAATCATCTATAAAAGAACTAAGACCAAAACTCNACTATATGTAAATGCTCAAGAAAACAATAAAAAACAAAAGGAGAAAGAAGCAAGGAGAAAAAAGGGTAAAAGGTTCCTTAAGACAAAATCATCTATAAAAGAACTAAGACCAAAACTTCTGTTAAGTGCTCATTTCAAATTGGTTAAATATCCAACATCATGACTTGAGAAGAGAGAAAAATAACATAATTGTAGATTGGGAAACGTGAAGAAAAAGAAAGTGTTGGACAGTCTGGATGTATCAATGCAAGAGGAAAGAAGAGGGAGAAGAAAGCCTTAAGAACAGAGATGGTTCTGGAAGATAGGGTTTTGTGAGCTTGTGGATAAATCTATTGTCAAAAGTCATACAATGATCTATTGCTTTTAGTATGAACCTTGCCGCTTGCTGTGAACTTAAGCCATATTTAGTTAGATCCCCCTCATTTTATCTCTGGTTGCTGCTCTTTCCAACTTCTCATCTTCCTATAATCAACAGCATTGTATCAGGAGGATTGCTCAAGTCCTTGTGATCTATACCCTTTGTACTACCAATAGGCTGTTTCTCTTTATGAGTTAGAATGCCTCTTGATCCATGGGAGATTGGGATCGAAGATTGTGCTTTCTCACAACTTGGATTGAAATATAAACAACTATGGTTATACTTGAACAATAAAGAGAAGATTTGTAGAAAAGGCGAAAAAAATTCAGAACCCATAGAAGGTAATGAAAGATTATAAAGCTTGTGAGCCACTCCTGCACTGCCTTTTTTGTTTAAGGTTCTTTTCCATCTTTGCTCTTACTTATGAACAAGTTTTGATTATTATTTGCCAATATTCCGAAGCTGTTAAACAGCTGCATGTGTTTCATGTCGTGTGCATTGTAACATAGTTTGAAATACATGTTGCTTTGCATTTTTTTCTCAATTTTAGTTTGTGAGAAAGTGTGATTACTCTATGAAATTTTGCAGGTGCGTGTTGAAGTTGGTGCTTCACCAGTTGATATTGCTAGAGCTTATATGGGAAGTCGGACATCAGATATAGGCCTTGGTTCATATACTGCTATATCTGAAAATGAAAGAGTTCTACAACGGCACGATGAATATGCAATAAAGCCATTTATTCCATCGTCTTCACATAAGTCATCCACTTGTTGGCCAGGTGCCATGGTACAGGATCAGTATGGTTATATAACCCCACAAAGTCAACGAGGTAGATTCGGGCTTCATAATTTACCACGAACCCCTTATTCCAGAACTATTTTCTCAAAGTCCAAGTCCAAGGTATGTGTAAACGTTTCTCTTGGAAATGTATTAACTGTGCTTTGTTGCATATGGAATGATAATTTTATTGTCTCCTCCATGTTCTCAGCTGACTCAATTACAAGCTGATACTAGGGGCACAAACAGTTCGCCATCTCCCTTTCAGCAAACTCCTACTCCCCTATATGGACGGGTACACATTGTCTGAGCTGTCCTTGTGTAATTGTTTGCATTGATAATGATGCTGTGTAGTTTATTACGCATCTTTGACAGTTTGTCGAATTTTGGGACATGTCTCGGTGGCATGCACTCTTGTAGGTCATATTCTAGCTACATATCTGGTACATAGAGGAAGAAATCATTTAAAGAGATTACAACCTTTAGTTTTCTTGCGTTATTGATACATTCTAATACCCTTTTTGATTTTCTTACTTCCAAGTTCTTTTGAATTTAATGAACTTAATACCGTGCAATTGTTATTAATGAACCTTGGGCCTTTCAAAAAAAAAGTAAAGTTTCTATGGGAAGTTCCATTTATATCTCGGTCTTTGCCATTCTGGCTATAGCTTGGGTTCAACTGGATTAACCCTGTGATGCTAGTTGTCATCATCTTTATGATTAGAAGTTAAATTAATTCCTGGAATTAAGTCCTACATATATCGTAGGAGAAAGAAGAAAATGGTGTGAAATCCTGTTAATTTACTCGGAGAAGCAATATTTACTTCTCTCCAAGTCTACATGTGGCCTGAACTTTAGGAAATAGAAAAACATGGTAGAATCTATTATTTTCTTTTTTCACAGCTTTGGTGCTACTGAGTCCTGACTACTGACTACATAAAAGAAACCGTCCTCACCCCCCTTCTTTCTTTTTTCAGTTCAGGGCCATTTTATATCTTCTTGGCCCGTAAATAGTGTAGTAAAGTGAATGCATTCTAAATTCTAGTTCTGAAACTCAGGGTCTCATTCATTTTTATTACTTGCCTGGATCTTCTTCATTGACGGAGCAGCTCATTTAGCAGATTTTTAAGGAAATTTTAGCCTTTTAGATTAAGTTTTGGAAAAATTTTCCTTTGTATCTGTTCCTAGATAGTACAGTTTAGATTTTAGCAATGAATGTATGTGATTTAGATGGACTTTAGAAATATATTTTGTTAAGTTGGTTCAAGGGGGCTATAGCTGGTTCTAAGAAACATTATTAAGAAGCATTTGGCTTCCTGTGTCTTCCAATAACGTGTCTTAATGTATTTGGCTACAATTTCTTAATCCCTCTCATATGTTGTATTAAATTCTGAAGTGCAACTTCTGTGCTTTTTTTTTTTTTGTTTATTTCTTTTGAAACAAATAAATGAAGACAAGGAGTGATGCATTGGATGATGGCTATGGCTCGGTTGGACCTATTCGGCATATACGGAATAAGTTTGCTTCAGAAGCTCGACACAGAGGATCTATTTCCATATATTCTTCTCAAAGAGCTTCTCCACAGGTAGAAAAATCCAGTGTTTCCAAAGGTTTCTTGCCTGCTATGGAAAAGAATATGGAACTTGGTGGAACAAGTGGTGCTTCAAAGTACCAGTCAGTAGAGCATATGGTGCACAGTTCTGAAGAGGTTGCCCCAACTTCTAATCCTCCATGCAATGAGGTTCTTAACAAAATAATTGAGCACCTTGATAGACACAGGCCCACACCTGCAGAAAAAGCAGCTGAGTTGAAGCTAGCCACTGAATGGAAAAAATCTTCTCCTTCTGAAGTCACTGGTGTCTTGCCAAAGGAAAATTCCAGCTTACTACATCTAGGAGGGATTGATTCGCAAAAAAACATAGATTTAGTTGACAAGAAACTTTCTGCTGGAGGAAATGGTGATAATGGGAAGTCAAATTATGATGTTAAATATCAGGAGAGAAGTAATAATGAAGCTACTAATGCTATAGATGGAAGTATTAAAGCTTCTAGCGCGGTCATTGGTGATACTGGTGTGACAGGTGACGCCAATGCAGAGCCTACGTTAGGTTTCAAAAATACATGTGACTCTCGAATCATGAGCACAAATAAGGTACTTTCACCTCCTTTAATTTTCCTTTGTTTTGACGGAAGTGTTTCATTCTCTTCCATGACTTGTGTGTTGAACTGATGCAAAACCGCTACAAAATGTTTGGCTTGTTATACATTTTCAATAGCCATCTTTATGTTTTGCATTAATTATTCATTATTAGCATGGACTAGTTCGGATTTTAAGGACGGACACTGATACAGTGATAAAGTTGTTCTATTATGACATGGATGCCACAAAATTTTTCTGCAAGCATTCGTACATCTAACCCTTCTTCTCAGATCTTGTAGTATTGGAAGTCTTGCGAGTTAGACTAATCTTTTAGACCTTTTAGCTGTAAAGTATAAACTTACCATTGTGGTCCTTGCAATTGTAATGTCCACCTCATATCATGAATTAAGTGTGGTCTGTTAGGAATTTTTTTAGGCTTAAGGTGACGTATGTTTATTTTTTCTTATTTTCTTCTGAATTGGATGGTTTGTGATTCTTTTCGGGTTTAATCATCTCATGCATGCTTTGAAATTATGTTTCCTCCTTTTCTTGGGTATACTTCAAAATTTGATAAATACCGTTTGATAATGCTTATTTTAAGTGCTTTTGTTGCTTTTTTGCTTCTTTGAAGTATTTTTTTAAGTAACATTTCTTCTTGCATTTTTACTTTTTGGCATTTTCCATGTTGGGTCATACTCTCTTCTTGTTGTGGTAGTGTAGTAGAATCATCACCAATGGCATGCTGTGCACCTATATGCGAAAAGACATTGCAAGCTTTGTTTTGCCAAAACCTAAATGTTAAGTCGGCAACACTTTCAAATGCCACTTCTTGTTGTGGCACTGTAGTAGAATCATCACCAATGGCACGCTGTGCACCTAAGTGTGAAAAGACATAGCAATCTTTGTTATGCCAAAACCTAAATGTTAAGGTAGCAACACTTTCAAATGCCACTTCTTCTTGTCACACCCGTCTGAAGACGATACCTTGATCTCATAAAATAAGTATACAAGTATATTATTGATAGGTAGAAATGGATCCATATCACATTTGCAGAAATAGTAGTTAAATATGTTTTTTCTTTTTTATCGAATTTGCCTTTTTGCTTATACCTTAATGTTTTTCCAATCTTCACATTCTAAAAAAGGAGGAAATTTTGTTTGTACTGATCTTTTTTCATATGGGACTATTTGATTTTAAAAATTAAACCTGTGTTTTTTTTATTTTTAAATAATAAAATATCACAATTTCATGATTATAGTTACATATATTTTTGGGTGAAAACTGAACTTGCTATTTGTTACTTGTATTAAAATCCATTGGGCTCATTGGCTAACCAATAAGCACGCCCGGACTTGTGTCAATATTTGATAGCAGACTCTTGCCCCAGAATCATTGATAAACAAATGTTTATGTGACTGTAAGATTGTGTATCCACTTTTTATATGCAGTTCGTCTTTAAGATTGTCTACCTTGAAAGAAATCATGCATGCTCCATTAACAATCAGGCCTTACACTTTGGTATATTTGCATCGCTAGAGATCTCTGGGGATGTTCGGGTCCAGGGTGTACTCAGGGTATGTAGGTTCGGTTCTTGTTGATAAGGCCATTAGCGTGAGCGATAATGCGCATGGGGTGAGTGGGTGCAAGTTCTTACTTCCGGCTATGTGGGACCCCCAGATTTCTGCTTGCTCAACACTGGTTTGATGCAGGGGGGGAGGGGGGAATCTGGTGTGAGCATGTGTACGAATGTAGATATATGGTGGCAGATAATAGGGTTTTGGAACTTGGGTATAGTGAGGCTGGTTGTCTTAAATTCTGTTCCTTGCAAAAAATGTGAGAAAAATGTTAATTGAGATTATATTGCTTATTATTGTAAAGGAACTTTCTTTTGGGAATTAGATTTCTGTACCGAAAAGTAACTTTTCAGAATCATTCCTCATTTTTTTCATCAATCTTTTTTGTCACTCTAATTTTTAAAGTTTATTTTCGCAAAAGGCTCTTATTAATTACTTCCCCACGGGCATGTTTGGTATGTGGGTTTGGGGGGGTTTTGGATCCTGGGTTGGGGATTAAATCCCCTTAAACCCATGTTTAGCAATTATGCATTTAGTTCAGGATTTGAAACCCAGCTCGGTCATGAAACCCACATACTTGGATTTCATGAAACCCGGGGGTGGGTTGGTGGGTGGATTTTATATGTGGGTTAATGGGTTTAATATACAAATGACATTTATAACCCCATAAATCCTATATACTCCATATATACAAATTAGTTAAGGGGCACAATAGTCATTTATATATAANCAGGATTTGAAACCCAGCTCGGTCATGAAACCCACATACTTGGATTTCATGAAACCCTGGGGTGGGTTGGTGGGTGGATTTTATATGTGGGTTAATGGGTTTAATATACAAATGACATTTATAACCCCATATATCCTATATACTCCATATATATATTATCATAATAGTCATATATCCTTGCGCATACCAAACACGGATATGGACAACATTGAGGTTTGGACAAGCCAATCCAAACTCCTCCTAAAAAACATACCAAAAAGGCCACATATGTTTTGTTGATTTGTGCCTTTGTTTAGAGCTTAAGATGATGAAATAATCTCTTATCGTTGCATTGTGGTTCAATGAGATAAAGGGTTCAACATTTTAGGAAGTGTTGAATCTTCCACCTGCTATGTGCACTATACAATTGTACCTTTGAAATTGTGGTCCTGTAAAGAAATAGTTAAATGTGAATTGTTCTAAATATGTCCACGCTATTCCATGTGTAGGTGCTTACAGCAATGCTTAGAATTTCAAATAATTGAAAGTGTGAGATGGTTCTACGATCGCTTTAACTGGGGGTGTGCAGTGAAAGGATGTTAGTTCTTTGTCTGCTACTAAATTTGTAATCTTTTTAATGAAAGNATTGAAAGTGTGAGATGGTTCTACGATCGCTTTAACTGGGGGTGTGCAGTGAAAGGAAGTTAGTTCTTTGTCTGCTACTAAATTTGTAATCTTTTTAATGAAAATAATGTTTTTTTTCCCCATGTTGCCTGGATAAACACTTCCCATCCACTTAAATAACATATTTGTACTTCAATTCTAATGTTACCTCCCTCCTTTGATAGATGTGCTCATATTCTTTTCCAGGAAATAAATCATATACTAAATTTATCATATTTAGAGTGTAGTAATCATGTATAGTCTACATTTCATATGTTTTTCTGTCAATGAAGGCTGAGCCTCCATTGAAGCAAGTTTTAGACAATTTGAAGCTGACAAATTTGGTTAGGTGCCTGAGATTCTTATTTGTATATATATTGCTTTGAATTATGCTGACTTCTATTTCCAATTTCATTTTTGCAGAAGGCTTTTGTGGCCACTGATGATAGACCGAAGGAGACAAGTCAGCTTTGGAGATTCCCCAATCAAGCTAATGGGCCGGATATCACAACCATATCCAATGCTGTGAAGCCACAATCGCATCCTTCCGTGACAAAGCCTAATTTGGCATCTATTTCTATCGATAAGCCTGACCCACGACGGGGAATTTCTTCTGATAATGGCTTTGGGTTCACTTTTCCTGTTTCTGCATCTTCTGATGTACTATTGGAACCACCAACACCGTCAATCATGCCCTTGTTTTCGGCCACTGGTCTTCCTCAGCAGCCCGCACTTCCTTCTTACAGTTTCGGCACCAAGAAGTCTGCCAAACGCGTTGTTTTCTCGTTTCCTTCTTCGAGCAGTGCCTCTGCCCACGATGATGCTTCGGATATTAAGTTCAGCTTCGGATCAGACAAGAAGAATAGGATATCTTTCACTTCAATTGGGAAAGATGCCATCTGCTATTAAATATTATGGTGCTGAGCATTCTTGTTTCTCTTGAGGGATCTTTGTTGAATTCTTTGTCTGAAAGAAGCTTTATCAACACTTTGTGATACGCTTTTCTCATTTTAAGAAAACTGATTCATTTCTCATATGCTATAACCTCAGCAATTAAAGAGCTGATGATCAGCATGTTCTCTCTCTCTCAAGGATCAAAATTTCATCTCGGTGAGTGTTTCGGTCACTTAGTAAAAGAATGTGTTTCGGAAATATTTTGAAACATTTCGGAAACATAATGAAAATAAAATAAAATAATTTAAGATTTATTTTTTTAAAATATTGGTTAAATTATACTAAAATACCTTAAAATACATTGAAATATATCGAAACAATTGTGTAAATATATTGAAATATAATAAAATATTATGAAAAATTTTGAATTATTAAAATTTTGATTTTATTATTAATTCATTTCGGACGTTTTGAAATGAAATTTTGATTCTTGCTCTTTCTCTCTAACACAGTGATGGGGCATTTTGTAGAAGTGTTAGATTAAAATGCTATGATATAATGTATATAAGGATATGTGATAAATCATTCAATACAGATACTGAGTGGAAGTTGCCAAAAGAAAAAAGATTACCATTGTGTTAGTATTGATAGAGTGGCAGCCTAATAAAAATACATGTATCTGTGTATACATATATAAATACACATATACAAAGTCAAATTATACCTTTTTATTTCTTTGATTAACTTAATTACAAAATACGATTTTAACTCCTTCATTTTCACTTGCCAAAAAAAAAGAGTATTGTTATTTGAATATCCCAATGATAGAATCGAATCGGTGTAGTTATAATAATATTTCTATTAGACCATATCATTGGTTAATAAATTAGATTAAATTGTTAGAAATATATAATATTAGTTTAAAAAAAGAATCCTCCTTATAGACTACTCTTTTCATTTTCTAGTTCACAAATTAAGCAAGTGGAGAGAAGAGAACATAATAAGACGGAATGAACATTTAAATTTTGTATTGAACAATTTTGCCGTATCGATATTCTAATCATAAAGGTTTAACTAGATAATCCAAAAAAGTTTTTTGAAGCACCACATCATTTTTTTATGTAATAATAATATGAAAAATGTATAATTATTTTATTTTATCAATTTTTAAATGAATTTATAATTATAATTTATTTTATAATATAATAACTTAAAAAACTTTTGGGTACTACAATCTTATCTATAATCTTAAGGAGTACTTTACGGGACTTAAAAAAAAAAAATAGATTGTACCTCGATTTATAATTTTTGTAAATGTATTTATTATTTTTATGGTAACTATTTTTACAACTTTTGTGGTTCCATGCAATCACCGCTAAAATGTTAGGATTGATCGCAAGGTACCACACAAGTGGTAAACACAATTAATGCAAAAGTTAAAAAAATATCTACAAAAGTTATAAATTACTTATAAAAATTATAATTTTTTTGTTATAAAATAAACCATAAAAATATTTATTAAAATTATAAAATTTAGAGGTATGTCATCGATTTTTTTTTTTTACTACCGTTGTCTTTTTCTAATCTTAATTGTCACACACACATAAACCCCCCTGACAATGACGCAAGACCAATTTATCTTGATGCCATTAGATATCCAAAATGGTCTAACTTATCTATCTACAGGTGTCTTCTTCTCCACAGGCAAAGAGAGGTAAACAATAAAAATAGAAAGAAAACTACCAGCATAAACCGCTCAAAACAAATCTTTTGTTCAACACCTGTTGTCTTCTTTTCATCCCTAATCCAAATCTCTGCAAGATTTTAGGACGCTAGATACCCATCAAAAGTTTGAGAGAGAAAATAACATTTACAGAGAGAGAGTTTTGTAGAATGTATATATGTATACATAAATATAGTTAAATAGTTGGTTAAGCTTCGTGTTGTGTCTTGTTTTTTTTTTAACTGTTTTGGGTTTTTGAAATTTGGGTAGGGTGGAAATGGCGAGCTCTGTCAAGAAGGACGAAATTGTCTCCTTGGAACTGCCTGCTCCAGCTAGTTGGAAGAAAAAGGTCTCTCTCTCCACGACTATGCAAATTTATGTGTATTCTCTTTTTGCAGTGTTAATCTTTTGATACTAGAATTGATTTTTCAAGCTTTAATGGTTACTTCTTGGGTGAATTGGGTTCTGGGTATTTGCAATTCTGTGGAATTATGTGGTTCTGAGGTAAATTTGATGGATTAGTGGTGGTGGTGAAGCTAGGGCTTGTATATTCTTATAGTTGAATATTTGTAGCCTTTTGCTTTAATTGTTGTTTAATGGTGTCGATTGGGTTCTGGATTAAACATATGTTTTTATGTGCTTCTGCGGTAGAATTGATTCTGAGTAGTGGTAGTTTTGGAGCTAGGGCTTGTGTTCATATTTTCTAATCCAGGTGAATTATAGTGTGAAATTATGTGAGGGTTCGAATTTACACCAATTCTGTATAGGAGACATGAAATCTGGAATTGGATAGATTTGCTTTGCACCCATTCCCAGGGTTAGGTTATTCCTGGTGTGATTTGGGTGCTATGAATTTCACACAATGCTTGGTGGGGAATGAAGCCTTATAAGGGAGGAAAATATAAATTGGAATGAGTTTAGGTAACAGTTGATGATCTGACGATACAGCTGCATTGGAACTCTCCTCAACTGAAAGAGTTTCATACTTTCATCCTTATAGCTGACACTGAATATTGTGATGAACTGGTGATACTTGACCTGCTCTGCAGTGATTGATGGGAGATATCTACGCTTGACTGCGTAGAATATAGATTACTGTGGTTTCTGAATGGGAAAATCGTCCAAGTTTCTCTTTGGATTTATTATATAGGGTGTTGTCTCATAACTTATTTTAGACTAGTCCCTTTTTGAAGTTCTCATTGATGGTTTAAGATCGTTTGGCCCTCAAAACCATAGGCAGAGTCACTTGAGGAACAGTGGGGTGATTACATGCCCACCCCTAATTTTTTTTAAAAAAAAATTACTTATGTATATTTTAAATAATTTTAAGTATACTTAAATGTGCTCACTCTATCATTTTTTGTTCTATCAATTAGTGTACTCTCATATCTAAATAACTATGAATTTTTTGACACACTTTGGACACTTATCGATCCATGTAGATAAGTTTTTGACATGTCAGACTCATCTTTTTAGCTCTAAAGATTGTGAAAACTAGGTTGCATAACTGAATGAGTTGTCAATGACTAATAGTTTGATTGATTGTTTTTTATATAGTTAGCCTCATTTGTTTTAAGGGTTTTTTATTTTTATTGATTGGGAGAAAAAATTAAAAAGTTTCTAGGCAAAGTGTCCACCCTAGACGAAATTTTTGGCTCCGCCCTGCTCAAAACCCTTCCAATGATCAATACCTCTGCCTTGGCTTGTTATGAGGTAGCACTGGAGAAGAGAACACTTTATGACCCCTCGGCCAAATACGTTTGGCAGTGATTACTAAGGAGTCAAGTTGAAATTTCTTTCTCAGATTTCCCCTTTCCACTTTTATTTCATCAGTTTGGGGAAATTTTAAGGATTATCTGGTGTCGACATACTTGGTTATCATTTAGATTCTCCCAGTTGCAAGCATGGTAGTATTTGCTAGAACTGAATCAGTCTCGAAAAAGTTTAATCGGGTATTTGTCTGTGGGCATCTCACTCTTTTTTTTGAACTGTGGGCATCTCATATAAAACACTGAAATTTCCCAACTAACCAGTGACTGAAAACTCAGTATTTCTGAAACACATTTAGGGAAGAGAATGTGGCAAGATTTGGGACGAATAAAATTATGTAGATGAAAAAATGCAACTTGAAGTTTTTGAGAAAGAGAATATTGGAGGATAACACACCCCTCAAAATGTGCAACAATAAGTAGCCAAATAAAGCTCTGTCGAGTGTTGGATTACATGAAAAGATTAGCCTGACTTATTTGAAGCTGGAAAAGGAGAAATATAATTGAAATCGGAAGTTATATATTGTTCATATCCCTAAAAAGGAGTGAAGAAGAAAAAGGCCACCAACATTATGCTTCTAATTGAATATCATAGTATTTCTTGAATTTCATTTCACACTCATAGAATATGCTTTCAACAAGAACTTGCAGAAAATATTGTAGAGAATGTCAGAATTATTAAAAAAATTGGCCCAGTGTTGGTGCACTTTTACTGAAATGGCTTTGTTCCAGATAGGAGGTGTTATTCAAAGAGGGTTAAAGATATACAGAACACAAAATAAATTTCGTGATCAGAGGATCTACACATCGTGTGAAATTTCTTCAAATTTTTTTCTTCGTTGTATGAAATTCTCATGTCCTCAAATATTTACTAGGATTACAAGTATTTGAAGTATATAGTATACTTTGGGATGAATTTGCAGATTTACATGTTCATATTGCTTATTGAGTTTATGTAGGAGCTTAAGTTCCCTGGTTTTATGGGAGAAGAAAAAGATGTCGAATTGCATGGAAATGAAATGAACATACAATTCAAATGCATAGCACAATGAGATGATTCTGGATGTCCCTGGTATCCAAATTACTTTTGGATAAATGAATGCATCAGTAAGGTATTCGGTGGTGGAAAATTTCCTTGTATTATATACTGCCTCTAGGACTTTGATGAATTGGTGTATCTTTGAAATCCTCTGAAAAATAGAAAACGTGGTTAGAATGTTTAACATGGGACTTAACTTAGATCCCATGCAGATGGTCTATCATCCGTACTTCGTGCATCTTCTTATGTTCTGCTGCATTTTTTCTCACGTTCCGCCTGTGTCATGTTTAGTGCCCTATTTTATGCTCAGCTGGACGACACAAACCACAATAGAAAGATGGAAGTACAAAACATTGATCTGTATCAAGAGGTTGAAGAATACATATAAAATATTAAAATAAGGAAGGATAGATGGGAATCACTTACCCAAAGCAGGATAGTTGGGAAATCACTCACCAAGGAAAAGGACTCACTCACCTTGAAGAGAGGAATCACTTAACTCTCAAATGAAGGCTCAAAAAGCATTCTCGAAATCAAAATTTTTCAGCAGCCAAAAAACTCTCCCCCTCATTCCATTTATGAGTATAAATACTACTAAGAACTATACATAAATATGACTAACTAATAGTAGGTGTTTTTTTCGGGGAACCACACCTTGACTAAGAAACTTATGTTTCCTTGAAACTCCGCCACCTTAATAAAAGCTCATTGAAACAGTTCATCACCATTCTCATGCTTCTTGACTACATCACTGGTTCTAAGCCTGGATAAAGGAGGACGAAGGCGCAAGATAGCTGGAAACTAGCCTAAAACGAATCTGCCAAATAGTAGGAAAAAAGGCTTTCTTGAGTTGAATATAAAAATTTAGAGTCTTACAATGATCTGATCACCATGGAGATGCTCTATCTTCCACAGATTTTGTGCTGCTTGGGTTCTGCAGCAATTTTAATTCCCTGTTCCATTTATTCCTCTAAATTCACCACTGGTCTTTATATATTGGCGGGCACGAGTTTAGGTGACATCATGGTTAAATAGAGAAGAAAATGATCTGTATACATGACACAATTCTACAACTTAATCCACAATCCTCATCTGGCCTTCATATAGAGTACATAACTAAGCTATTTTGGTTGATCTCAAGTGAATCATGGTGGCTCCAAAATCTCTGTCTAGCATGCAAGATTATCTGTGTTCCTTGATTTCTATGTTCTTTTTTCAGCATGACGTTTTTTTTTTTAAAAAACTTAGTTCAACTGTAAACTTTTGCCAGTTTAGATCTTTCATTCCTTCTGTTTTGGCAATCCTGAGCCCTTCTCTTTTCCCCATTTTTGTCTAGGAATTATATAACTTCAATATCTTTATTTGTATACTCTTCTATTTCTTGTTTCTCAGTCCACTGGACTCAGTTGCATAATATTGAACTTTTGTGTTTCTATGCAGTTCATGCCCAAGAAAGGAGGGACCCCGAAGAAGAATGAGATCATATTCACCGCTCCAACCGGGGAGGAGATCACTAACAAAAGACAGTTGGAACAGTACCTGAAATCACACCCTGGTGGTCCTGCAATATCGGAGTTTGACTGGGGAACAGGTGATACACCTAGGAGATCAGCAAGGATAAGTGAGAAGGCAAAGACGACTCCACCACCAGAAAGTGAACCCCCAAAGAAGAAACGAAGCATAAAACCTTCACCTTCAAAGAAGGATGACAAAGAGAAAGAAGTTGTACCTAAAGAAACTGAGGTGAAAGAAATCCACATGCAGGAAGCTGAGAAAACTGAGGAGAATGCAACTGCAGATATTGAGAAGGATGATGTGAAGGAGAGTCAATATGACAGGAAAGATGAAGCTCAAGACAGAGAAGGAAAAGTAGTATATGCTCCTTCCCAAGAAGCAAAGCTTGGGAAAGATGTCAAAATACTTGATGATGCTAAGGAAAGTGAAAAGCATGCAGATACAGAAGCAGGAAATTCAAAAGAGGCCCAAATTGAGAAAGTAGCTGATGGTTCTGGGAATGGGAGAGTTGAGGAAAAAGTGGAGCAAATACCTGTTGAAACAGTGAAAGCGGATGGCAGTGGAGAACAGGAGAAACAGGATGCTGCTGCGGAGGAAAAGAAATACAAAGTGGAAGGAGAGGTGAACCAGGAAGGCAAGAGTATCCCAGTGGACAATAGCAGTGTGCAACAAAATATTCCGGACAAGAATGGCAGCCACGTCGAGGTCAGTGGGGCCAAACCTTGAGTTACTATACAGGTTTGCCTCAATGCCACTGCCATTGTACTTCCTCCTGACCTTTTTGAACGGATGACTCTGGTGGTGTTGTTAATGTTGGAATTCTGATTGTTGACATGTGTATGTAAAGCTGTAGATCAGGCCTGCAATGTCGTAGCTTTTGTTGCATCCACTGACATGTAACGAGCAGACATCATTGTAACACTATTTTACATCATAGATTAGGCCTTTGCATTGAGGGGATCAGGCAAGTAGGTTTCAGAAATCTTATGCAACATTATGGTGTTGGGACTTGTATTGTATTTGTAACATTGTAATACGTAGTTGTATGTTAAGTTAAAAGTCCTGTAAACTCAAGTTCCTTTGATTTCTCATTGTCTTCCTGGCATAAGTTGGTCATTGAACGTTCCAGCAAGTGTTTGTTGGTTCAGATTGTAGCTGCTTTACCTTTCAGATAGAATTGTAGTCTTAGATCTCCTGTTTTTGCATTGCTACTATCCGTTTTGTTGAGGAAGATGGAGGGAGAGACCATAGAATCTTACCAACCATCATATAGCACTTTTTAAGGGCTGTTGAGGTCTTGAAATGCCATCCCTAAATGCAATAGTTGGGGAACTATATAGCTATAAGATTCGATCCTACTTATTTGAGTGTTAGTGTGCTAAGTTTAGTTAATCTGGTTTTTTTATGTTAGGCCAAGTAGCCGATTAGTTCACTACCTGAATAAAGGATGAAGTTCCATGTTTAAGTATCCTGCGGCTAGAGAGTATTAACAACTAACGAGCATGATGGTCTTTTCGATCGAATTATCGACCATGATTAAATTCTGCCCGCATTCGGAATCGGGCAGAAGCCTTAAATCAGTAGGGCAATATCATAACTATTATTGAGCTGACCCCTATCACTTAAAGACATACCTACTTTCTTCGAGATATGAATTGAGCAATCGGAAATGGCTGTCACTACCACCTCTTCAAAACTATATAGAAAATTGTCTACTTTTTTATCTTCGTCGGCCTTACCATAGTCCAAAGTGTTATGTAATAGGGTCTTTTGAAAGTCGGTATACCAAATTAGACATAATTGTAAAAAAGTACACAGAACAAAAAATTTCAAAAAAAAGTACACAACTGAAATACAAAGACGTAAATGCTCATTTTGTAAAATTTTCGTTACTAAAAACTGTAACAAGACATTTATCTTAAGCGCTGAAATTGAATTACACTGCACTTAATTTAACATTTTTTGGGGCATTAATTTTTGGAAAAATTGTGAAAAAGTACACCATTTAGGACTTATTTGTTGAAAAGTACTTCAATATAAAATATATATTTGGTTATTAGGTACACTTTTGCTTAATTGTAATTTTTTCTCTTACAAAATTGCCATTTTTCTTTATTAATGGAGTCACAAATATGACAGTTATATTAGAGATTCACTTTCCTTTTTTTAAGCTATATCATTTTTTGAATTTTGAATTAACTCTTTCTCCTTCATTTGACAGACTATTTTTTCTCCATTCTGTAACCCGAGTTTGTATACGGTCTGTAAACATTTTATTCAAATATCCATTAATTAGTCGGCTTGAGTTAAATACTTATTTCATAACTGGTTAGGTTTTTCCATATCGTTACAGGGAACTCACCCATCTAGCAATCTCTTGCAGTAGAAGACGTGTGACAGGTATGTTTTCTACACTGTTATAAATTGTTTTTAAAAAACTTAAATTGTAATGATGAATATATGTTCCAAATATTTGTTTTTCACAGTTTGTGATGGAGGATATGATCATTTTGTTATGTCGTTACGAGAATGAGTCGTTAATTATCCGCGTTTCAAGATATTCACCGTTTGAGGATGTGTTAACTCGATTGTTTGATACATGGGAGTTGTTGCGGGATTTGCCAGTATGGTTATCATATTCACTCCCTGAAATCCCAAATTGTTTTTTAAAGAATGATGAAGACTTCAAAAATATGTTTGAAATGTCACAGTCTATTAACATCAATCATGTTCCTGTGAGGATAACCATAAATGATGTTGACTCGAATGGGGGTGCTGTTAATAATTCAATTAAAGATTTGCATAATCCGGATGATGATTCTGATTCGGAGGATGATTTGTTGCCTCGTTATAGTCAACATAACGAGAAAGTTCTGTTAACATCTAGTTGGATTAATGAAATCAGACATGTAGGACAAAAATTTGAAGGTGGTGTGTTACAGTTTCGTAATGCTCTTTGCAAATACTCGATTGAATGCGGTTTCAAATTCAACTATGTTAAAAATTGCAAATATCAGGTTGTGGCTGAGTGTGCGGCAAAATATTCAACAGGTTGTGAGTGGAAGGTGAATGCAAGTATTCAAAAGGTAAATGAGTTTTTCTACATATGGAAACTTCACAATGAACACACATGTGATGAAACACTACGTACAACAGAAAACAGAATGATGAGTTCTAGTTTAATTGCAGATTTAATTGTTGATCATGTACGGGACAAAAATGCTACTCGTCCCACTGAAGTTGTTAGTGATTTTTTGTTGGATTACGGTCTTACAATTTCGTACAATCGAGCATGGATGACAGTTGAGAAAGCAAGAGGAAAGATTTTTGGGAATCACTCGTTGTCGTACCAGCAAATACGATGGTATGTTGGTGCTACAATTACAAACAATCCTGGCAGCCACATTATTCTAGATTGTGATGACGATACTAATCGGTTCCAAAGATTATTCGTGTCATTTAAGGCCTCTATTGATGGGTTTAATTATTGTCCTTTGTTGTTCATTGATGGAACATTTTTGAAAGGCAGGTATAAAGGTAACATCCTTTCGGCAACTGGCAAAGATGGCAATCAAGGTATTTTATATAAAGGATTAAATTATGTCAGATATATAAATGTCACATTTTAATGTTTTTGGTGTTATTGATTATTGTATGTTGAATTGGTTAATTTTTTTTTTAGGTTTATACCCATTAGCATTTGCTGTCGTTGATTTTGAAAATGAGGCAAATTGGAATTGGTTTTTATAACAGTTGACCCATATTGTGGACCATGGTTGTGAGATTACTTTTGTGTCAGATCGAAATGTGGGTCTTTTAGAGGCAATGCCAAAAATTTTTCCAAATGCTCATCATGTTTTTTGCTTGCAACATCTTAAAGCCAATCTAAGGGACAAATGTAGCGGAGGTCGATTTTCCAATAAAACCAAGGAGCATATGGTATTATTGCTACGTGAGTGTGCTTATGCACCGACAGTTTCTCTGTTTAATGAGAAGATTGAATCTCTCCGTCAAGAAGGTGGGTTAAACATTGACAGATTTTTGGCNTGCTACGTGAGTGTGCTTATGCACCGACAGTTTCTCTGTTTAATGAGAAGATTGAATCTCTCCATCAAGAAGGTGGGTCAAACATTGACAAATTTTTGGTAAATCTCCCAGCTGAACATTGAGCAAATGCTCATTTTCGGGGAAAACGGTATGGTGAGATGTCTTCTAATGCTGCGGAGTCTTACAATGCTTGGATTTCAAAGGCACGACATTTACCAATTACTAGTATGGTTGATGCTATATGGAGTCAGATTGTGGACCAAAGGGGTTGTAGGTCGAAAGAATCTGAAAGTTGGAATGGTAACATATGTCCTAATATGGACTCTAAAATAAGTGCAACATTTCATGAAGGTAGATCTTGGTCTGTAAGGGTATCTAGTAATGATGTGTATGAGGTGAATTCATACCCGTCGGTTTCTGTTAACATTTTGAATGACACTTGCACATGTTATCAATGACAGATTAATGGATTCCCTTGTTCGCATGCGGTTTCGACAATACGCAAGAGTGGGCGAAATATATATGAATTCATTGATTATTATTTCCATGTGAGCACATATAGAAAGGCATATGCGGATCCAATACACCCAATTCTGACACTTGGTCGTCCATATATTTTGCTCAAATCGATAAATATATTGCCACCATCATCTAAGCCTCAGCCTGATCGTCTGAAGAAACGAAGAATTATTGCCACCATAGATTCGTTGTGGTCGTTTGGGCAGCCACAACAAGAAAACATGCAATGCACCATTGTGATTAAATATTATTATTGACAATGTAGTTGGTGTCAATTTTATGCTTATTTTTCATTGAATGTGGAATAAATTAACAATGTGTTTATCAAATTTGGTGTGTTTTTAGAGATGTGTGTTAGAATTATAGATGATTTTTGACAACGTAAAATACCTTTCATATCTTACCTATGCATGTACTATTTTTTGGACAGTTGTATATATGTATTGTCACATGATAATCAACCCACGTCATAGGATTCAGTTCTAATGTCAAAGTCAAACCATGCAATGCCACAATGTAAGATCCTAATGTCACATTTATGCAACTCACATTCAACATGGAAGCAGACATTGTTACACTTGTAACTGTTAATGCCATAATGTTAACAACCAATGTCACACTGATCCAACCTACATTCAACATGGAAGCAGACATTGACACACTTGTAACAGTCAATGCCACAAAGTTACCAATCAATATCACACTGATGCAGCCCACATTCAACATGAACATAGACATTGACACACTTCTAACAGTCAATGACACAATGTTACCAACCAATGTCACACTCCTGCCATCCAATGTCACATTGCTGACATCCAATATGTCACACTGCTGCATCCGTATTCATCATGAAAACATAAAATTACACACTTCTAATGTGCCACTGTTACAATGTTACCATCCAATGTCACGTCTAAAATTACAATGTTACCAACCAATGTGCCACTGTTGTACACCAAATTCAACATGATAAACACGCAATGATAAATTGCTTATACCCAAACACCACCCTTACTCAAACCACTGTCATCGAAAATTTCACATTGCTACACAAGAAATCTCAATTTGACAAGTTAATGTCACACTGTTACATATCAAACTAACAAAGTGACAAAGCAATGTCATACTATTATAATCCAAAGTTGAACTGTTACAAA